TTAGATTATACTATGATTGCCATTGTAGTGGTAATTAGCATCTCAATCACATTACATAATTATCCCTGTTTTTTTAGTAGTTGGAATAATTAAGTTCTAGACTCTTATAGGGGCTCTCTTTAAATGGCAGTCCCCCCTTGCTTTCCTTTTTATAAATCTCCTGTTGCATCCCTAGGAGGTCACATGGGGACAGCACACAGTAGGTACTCAATAAGCGCTTGCAGTTTAGGCCCATTACTATGCTTACGGCCCCCTACCCAGGGGGTTGATCCTTGGGGTCCCTCTCTTACCCACCCTACCCACCCTCACTCCCCTGTGGGTACCCCTCTTCATACTTCCTAAAGACCCGCTGTTGCTGTTTGCCAGAATTTTCCACGAGGAACTCTTTGGATCGGTTCTTCCTGCCCTCGAGGATGAGCCAGACATTTTCCCTGGTTTCTCCTTCATTGCCTGTTTCTATGACGATCTCGTAGGCTGCAGTGGAGAGGGTGGGAGAGGGTCAGCAGAGGGAAGCAGCTCCCACCGTCAGGACAGCAGCACAGCGGCCATTCCCTCCAGGTCCTGCATGTGACCTTAGACCACAGCCTGAGGTGGGGGAGCAGGTTAAAATCCTCACCTTTGAGGCACTAGAAATAGAACCTGCCCTGACCTATGGGCTAGTGTGATGTTCCCATTTTATTTATTGTAGCAGCCTCTTTGCCTGGCAAACATGGTAGCTGCTAGGAGTGAAGCACCAGCCACACTACGACTTCCAGGAAGCAGGACGTTTCCAAGAGATGCTGGGGCCTGGCTCTCAGGGGTGGATCAGTCCCTGAGCTGCAAATCGAAGATCCTATAGAGAAGGGAGGAGCGGTGGGGCCCAGCTACTAGGGCGAGGAAAGGGAAAGCCCCAGGCAGGCAAAACTCCAGGGGAGCCTCAACTCTCTAGCCAGCGATCCCACTCCCTGTCTTGGGTCAGTTTTCACTCTGGTGTCACATTCAGCATCACAGCCTCCTCCCCTGCAGCTCCCTCAAGCATGTCTGCATTCATTCATCCATCCAACATTTGTTAAGTGGGCGCCAAGTGTCAGGACTGGGCTAGACTCTGGGTAACACTAGAACTCAATTTCTACCCCTAGACACACACACTGACTATGCCAGAAGACGGAATATAGTAAGCTTGCAATAAAAGGCTGAAGTACTGTGGGGAGAGAGGAAAACCTGGCTCCCTGCTCCCTCCCTCATCTTCTAGCACTTTCTCTGTTACTCACTCCAGCTACTCTGCCTCTGTGCTATTCCTGGAGCCCTGAGGCGTGCTCCTACCCTCAGAGCTCTGCAGTGGCTGACTGTCCCCTCTGCCCCCAATTCTTCCCGCTTTCTCCCCCACACCAACCCCATATTGGTTTGGCTCACTCCCTCACCTCCTTCTAGTCCTTACTTAAAGATCACTTTCACACAGAGGTCTGCTCCAACCACCCTAATTAAAATTGCAACCTGACCGCCCCGCCCCCAACCCCCCGCAGCACTCCCAGCCTGCCTTACCTATTATTTTCTTTTGTCCCTATCACCTAACACCTTCTAACATGCTATGTAGTTTACTTATCATTTTATTGTGTATTGTATTCCCCCTCCCACCTGAATGTAACCTCCATGAGGGCAAGGGTCTTCTCAAGTGCCCAGAACGGTGCCTGGCACAGAAGCACTCAAGGAATATTTGTTGAGTGAATGAATGAATGAATGAATGGGCTAATCCCAGGAAGCTTCATGGAGGAAGCATCATTTAGCCTTGGGCTTGAAGAGCCATGACAACGCTCGGCAGAAAATGGAGGAATGTTCAAGGCGGAAGACGGAGCATAGGCAGATCCTGAGGGATGTGAGAGGGGCTTGAAGTCCATGCGACCCAGCCCCACCCCTCAGGGGCCAGGCCAAGGATGGAGCGAGCACCCGGAGTGACACAATAAGCGTTTGTTTGGAATGTCCCCTATGCATGTTGCTTTTGCTGTAGTAAATGAATCTGTGAGGGTTTAGGGTTCTGGATCCAAAGGGATAGCTCTATTTCTGTGCCTTTATCTCCTGAGATGTGATACAAACAATTAAGATAAGAGACGGCTATGCCTACAGCTCAATGTCATGTCAATCCCAGCCCCTCGGGCGGGCGGCAACCCTTTTGGCTTCCTGACTTCTCTCAAGGAGAAGCTCTGCTACCTGAAAAAGGTAGAATGAATCAGGGCAGAGGCAGGTAGCCAACAACAGGGAAGAGATGTCTAGAGAGCACCAGACACCTGGAGAAGGGCGGGGCCTCCAGAGGCGTGTGGAATGGCTGAGCCACTGTCAGGGGCTAGAAGCCATCACAGGATGGAGAGCGGCCCCACTGTGCCAACTTACTTCCTAACAGAGGGCAAGGCATGTTCTGCAAACCAGGCACCCATGAATTCAAAGTGGATCCTGGGTGTTGCTAAGGAAATGGTTTGTCAGCACCAAGGAGAGGAGGCAGGGAGTGCTAGGAACCTCCATGTGCACTACGATGAACTCAGGGAGGCGATTCGAAAAATGATGCAGGTGGAGGGCATATGGGTTGCAGCACATTTTCCCCTGAGGGTCCTGAGGGTAAGGAAGAGACGTAAGGTGTCTAAGCAAGGACAGCTAGGTAGATTAAAAACAAATGTAAGTGCCGAATATAAGTGCCACAAGGGCAAGGTTTCTGTTTTATTCATTGGTGTGTCCTCAGAACTCAGAATAGGCCGTGGCGCGTCGTAGGTATTCAGTAAGTATTTGCCAAATGGTCAGATAAAATTAGCTGAGGGTTGGGATGCTTAGCTCCAGCTGAGTCCTTGGTTCTCCCCAGGATGAGACTCCACCTGAGGACACAGGTGTGGTTGTCTGTCCCCTTATGAGCAGCATAGGAGAGTGCCGTGCTGCCCTCTGCAGGTTCCTAGTAAAGACGGATCAATCTGGAGTCTCCTGGGCTCTGTGCCCCTGCTCTCCCATCTCCAGTTCACATGCATCCTTCCGGAACTAATACACGTGCCACCTCCCCTCTGCAATCTCCTTGCCAACCCAGGTTCATCAAGGAACATTTAGGGTGTTTACTTATGTACCTCCTCAACAGAATTTCCTTCACTGAGCATCTGATTCTCCTCCAGCGATCACAGTCTCTTCTTCAGATTTGTAAGCACCATTTCCCACCTCCTTCCTAAGCTAATTCTCATTTAACATTGGAGATTCAGCCCAGGCATCACAGCCAGGCTGAGCCCACCAGTCGCCCCACATACTGGTTTCCTCCAGCTCATCATGGATCTCGTTGTTGGCACAGGCAAAGTCGCGAAGTATCTGTCCGTCACCCTCATTCCTGGAGAACCAGCAGTCACACTGGAAGCGGAAGGTCTCGTCCCGGGCGTTGTCCTTCACGTCAATGTAGCTCAGGTGCCAGCCAGGAAATATCCCTGTGGGAAAGAGATCATGGGGTCTGGAGCTGCATGTGTTCTCCTCCCCCTCTCAGACTTCCACTCCCCGGAGCCCCCTGGCTGTGTGCTCCGGACAAGTTCTCCATCCTCTCTTGGCTTTGGTCTCCTTGTTGATGAAATGAGGGGTTGGGTTAGATGACCTCTGATGAGGGTTCCTCTAGCCCAGAGAATATAATTCTCTTTACAAACCCTTAACTTGGGGTTCACGAATTCTTAGAGGATTTATGTGTGAAATTAAAGCAGTCTATGGGCCCTGAGAAATTGTGTTATAATTATACAGGGACGTTTTACCAGGGATAGGGCTTATAGCTTTATCAGATTCACAATGGGCTCTCTGACCCAGGAAGTAGACCTTTTGGAGTTCATGAAGCTGAAGGATGAATCCTATGACTTCCTGACACCAGTATCCACTCAGGTCACACCCATCATCCTTCCAGAACCAGTTCAGGCATCACCCCCTCCAGGAAGCCTTCCCTGATGTCTCCCCATTGCCCACTCAGCCTGTATCAGGTGCCCTTCTGGCTCCCACAGTATCCCACACCTGCCTTGGCCACGCCCTGACCACCCTGTTTACATGTGTCTCTGTCCCCCAGATCATGAGCCTTTGAAGGCAGGGACCAGGTCTTATTTGTCTTTGTTTCCCCATAGCAACTGGCATGTAGCTGTTGCTCAATGAATGCTGAATGAATGTGTTATATGACTTCAAGAAACTTTGCTATTTGACAGTTTTAGGAGGAACCAGAAGCTGCTATTTCTTTAGGGTATGTTGCTAAACCTGACACATCTTGCTCTAATATTGAACATGTAGCTGCTTAGTTGTAATTAACAGGGCTTCCCTCAGAAGTGTCCCTCCCAAATCATAGCTACCACGTATGAATTACTATGTGTTTGTGGTGATGGCTGCAGGTTATTTGCACCATGCACTGGTTCAGTTATTCTTCATCCTTCAATGTCCTTGATAGCTCAGAAAGCCAAAGGGCTCCATGTGAGGGGAAATCCCAGTGGCATGATAGGTTATGGTGGTGACACTTGCTGCTCATAATATGTCCTCAAGGCAACCCCCCCTTATCCCCCCCAGGAAGGCATGTATATTCTTTGCTCTCACATCTTGCCCTCTCATGCCACACAGGGCTGTGGGGGTAGTCCCACTGTCCCCACCAAAAAGTCTTTTTCAAGGATCAGACAGTGCCCAAAGCAACAATTGTAGATCCTGCTGCTGGTCTCAACCAACAGTCTTATAAGCACAAAGAGACACACAAAAATGGACACACATTTCCAGCTGCTCAATGGCTTCCCATCACTCTCAAAATAAAATACAAACTGCTCACCTGATCCTTTTCCATTCTGATTTCATTTCCTTGAAATCATTTACTTGCAACTTCACATACTATACCCATCTACACTGGAGTTTTAGTGCTTTAATATAATATATGAAATCCAATCTTGCCTCAGAAACTTTGCATTTATTTTCATGGCTACCTGGAACAATATGCCCCGGGTTCTGAATGCTCAGCCTGTATCACGATTGACGTGTCAGATCAAATCTCCTGTGTTTGGGAAGGCCTCTGCTCACCATACTATTTACAGAAGCTTCTTCATCCTCAATTACTTGCCATCACATTGCCATATACACACGTCACAATCTGAAATGATTGTGTTTTTATTTTCTTGTATATTGTCTGTCTTTTCCCACTAGGTTGCAAGCCCCACGAGAGCAGGAATCTTGCCTGATCTATCTACCACCACGTTCTAGTGTCTGGAATAGTGCTTGGCACATTATTTAATAAATGTTTGTTGAATGCATGAATGTGTACTATTATTGAATAGGGAAGAACAAGGAAGAATGGCACTGGTAGCAACATTTTATGAAGCGGGGGGAATAATTCAAAGCCCCATTAGGGAACATGGGCTGTCCTAGTAGAATCGATTATTTTATCCCCAATGTTCCAAAGTTTACTGTAGGAAAAACACTTAAAAACTGAACCAGTGTGGGGCCCCAATTTTTCCAGGCAAGAGATGGCAGGCTCTCTATGGGAATGAGACTGCTGGGTACTCCCTGGATTTCATCATGCCATCTACTATCTGCAATTCTGTAGTGGTTTTCCACATCTGATGGAATAAAAAGAGCCCAACTCTGTTTTTAAATATTTAGGACCTGACTCCATTCACCGTATTTCTTACCTCAATAAGGAAGAGCCCTTATGTAAATCCTCCGTACCATGAAATCGATTTATTAAGCATAACTTTTGCATTTCTTCTCTCCTCATGGAGGCGCCAAGCTATTCTGAATCTGCTTTAAATTCCCACCTATCCTCTGGACAACTTAGGCCTCACCTCTTCCATGAAGCCCTTCCAAGTCTCCAGGCCCACAGCATTCACTGTCTGTCCACTCACTTGGCCATGGGCAGAGATGGCTTTGGAAATCTTTGCTGTTAAGGTCATGATCATGCTTTAATTCTTTTATGGTGATTTTTATGTATGTGCTTAACTTCTCCAGTAGGATGTTAAGATGTGGGAACCATATCTTATGGCCTCTTGATTGCATCACAGGGATATTGACTCAATAATAAACATAGAATTGATAAATTATATTTATTATGAACCATCAGCTTTTTATTCCAGCACAAACCCTTGAAAATACTCTTTGAATAAATAGCTAATTTACTTCTCCAAACAACTCCCCTAAAAATAACCTTTGGCAAGCGAAAGATCCAGGTGGGTAAACCAATTTTCTTAAATAAGATCAATAGATGGTTTGAAATGAGATATGGAGCCATCACAGAGCCCTAGCTATAAAGGAATGTAAGAATCTAGTTATTATCTTTCCACAAACACTTTCATATGTACATCATCTGAGCTAGGATGCCAAGGGTGACACTCCTGTATTTGGCAGACCTGGGTTCCAGTCTTGGCATACTTACAAACTGAACACATTATAATATAATATCTCCATGTCTCAGTTTCCCTATTTGAACAATGTCATGGGAATAAAATTGAGTATTTATGAGGTTCTTTGTATTTCTATGCATTTATACTAAAAGAAAACATATAAATTCATTTTGTGGTAAAAAATTCTTCATTTAACAATAGAGTTTATTTCAGAAGAAGCAAGAAGAAGAGCAAGATAAATTAGAAAATAAACACACTGTTATAATTTGTTCACTATTATAAAAGCTTCTTGGTAACTGGAACTAAGGGGAAGAATTAATCATTTATCTTGATTTTTCTCTATGAACCATACTTTAAATAGCCTGAAGGATAATTTTTTTAAAACAGAATTCTAGCTGGTAAGTGGATAAGAAGTGAAAATTAGAAAATCACCATTTGTAACCCTAATTGGTCACCACTGGATGAAGTCATTAGATGAAGAGTTATGGGGGGACTTTACAATGGAGTAATCAAGCTGATGACCCTTGGATCCACTATTCTATGTGAACATCAATTAGAGTGGACTGCTGTAATGTAATATGAAGTACACAGGTATGAGGTATGACAAGTTCGCAAACTCCTCCTAGAAAAAGTGCTACATACCTCATTGCTGAATATCACTACAGTCACTTTCGAAGTACTTCCCTTGGAAAGCTATGCACTGATGCCAGTGCCTAGTCCACTCTTCAAAGCAATTTTGGAACTCTTTCTGGAATGACCATCAGAGCTGTCGTCGTATTACCCTTGATGTCCTGAATATCATCAAAATGTCTTCCTTTCTATATTTCCTTTTTATCTTCAGGTAAAGAAAGAAGTCATTGGGAGCCAGATCAGGTGAGTAGGGAGGGTGTTCCAATACAGTTATTTGCTTACTGGCTAAAAACTCCCCTACAGACAGTACCGTGTGAGCTGGTGCATTGTTGTGATGCGAGAGCCATGAATTGTTGGCAAAAATTTCAGGTCGTCTAACCTTTTGATGCAGCCTTTTCAGCACTTCCAAATAGTAAACTTGGTTAACTGTTTGTCTAGTTGGTACAAATTCATAATGAATGATCTCTCTGATATCAAAAAAGGCTAGCAACGTCATTGCAACAAGTTCGCGAACTTAATTTTCAGACCTTTGTATACTACCTGTGAAGTATTTTTGCCAAAGAAAGTTGAACCTGAATCTAATAAAACCTTGAGAGCTAACTTCCAGATTATAGAAAATATGGACAACAAAGAGGCAATGACACCACGAAGAAGCAAACAGACAGGTCCAGAATGTGGAAATTCGATAGATCATTGGACTCAGTTCCTTCAACAAGTTAATGGCATGGAAGAATAAAGGGAGTAGGCCCCGCTCTGCATTGAAAGAGGCGAAGAAGCTATAACAAGTAAATGTAGTGTGTGGACTTTGTGAGCATAATGGTTCAAACAAAGTCACAAGTACCAAGACATTTTTTATGTTATTAAGGAACTTTGCCTATGGAGTGGAAATTGGATGACAGAAAGAAATTATCATTAAGTGTGATAATGGCATTGTGATTTCATAAGAAAGTGTCCATTTTTAAAAAAGCAACATACTAAATATGTTGGGATGAAATGACATGAGGTTTAGGATTTGATTTTATATCTTCCAGCAACCAAAAAGAAATTAAGAAAGAAAACTAAAAGGGTAAAGCAGGTATCACAAATCATAATTGTTGAATCTATGTGATGGGTATGTTGGAAGTTCATTATACTTGTTATTCCCTTCATTTTCGTGCATGTTTAAAATTTTTCATAAAAAAATAACTACTGGATAAACAAAAAGAGATGGAAAGGGAGATTCAGGAAAAGAGAAGGTTGCTATGCTATTAAGTTAACTAAACATTTGTAACCTGACTTATACAGTCACTTTTCAGGATCTACAACTTTTTTGTGGAAGACTCTCAAACAAAATATATTTGTCCTCATAAATTTCTATGCAAAGGAAGCATAATGTAGCTTGAATATTTTAAAGCTAAATATGAAAAAATGTGGCATAGAGAGCACTTAAGGACATGTTTAGCTGTCTTAGCTTATATTAACATTTAATACTTCTCCTCCATCCCTGGAGGAGAAAGCTACTACAAAGAGGAAATTAGGCACCCAACCTGGACTTCCTGTCCCTCTCCCGACCCTAATATCCCAACCACCTGGGTTCAATAAAGATACAGAAGTGTTCCTTTCCCTGCCAATGATAGGTCCTGCTTTTAGATCCAATATCTGATTGAAGGGAAGGAGGCCCATTTGTCTGCCTATAAAGGGAAGAGAATAATATCAATGGCTCAGGATTTCTTTAAGTCCAAGGGCCACTATGGGGCCAAGGCAATCAGATAGTCTTGGGCTATCCAAAGGAGGAATCGAACTCTTTGAAGAGCTTGGTACCCCTGCCATCCATCGTAGTAGCAACAAATGACACAGTTGGGCTGTGTAGAACTGTCCGTGGTGCTGAACCACTTCTCTTGTCGTTCAGGGTTTTGACAGTGATGAGACAGAAAGAAGGACTGTCGTGTTTTTGCATAGAAGAAAAATACATCAAGAAAACTGAGGAAGTCTAGATATTCTCATAATCAGTGTCAGATGTGGGCAGCAGTATTAGAGGACTTAGTCATGACCACAAAGGGGTCATGGCGTGGACTCAATTTTTGAAAATACTAAGGCATAAGGAAAAACTCTGATTATAGAGAGATGTGGGTTCCCTGTGACTGAGGCATGGAAAGGCAGGGATGGATCTAAGAGACCAAAATAAAGGTATGAATAAATTCTATTAAAATATTTTAAGTCCCTACTACCACAAGCAGTATGATAGGCATTAGGGAGAGAACAATGAAGAAGGCAACGGTCCTTGAGCTGATAGTCAAGTAAAGGAGACAGAGAATAAATATGTAGTTACAAATATGACGACTGTTCCTGGAGGGGGTTCTAGCAGTAGGAAGCACTTTCAGTGAGGAGGTGAGGACATAAGAGAGTTTGCTAATCATAAGCAAGGAGATGAAATTATGGGAGGGTGTATGGTGGGAGTTAGGTCACAAGGCAAGGGTCCAAGTGGCTGGAATTATATGACAAGTCCAGGATCAGAACAGAAGCTAGTTTCTGATGATTTTAGGTCTAGATTCTTACTCTTTTTCTTGCTTAGAGGAATATAGTTGGTTTCTGAGCCGCAATCACCATTGAACTGCCCATAGAGCTACGGAGATCCCAGCTGCCAGAGTTAAGAGCAATGAGTTTGTCACCTTGAGAATTATAACTCTGGACCACTTGGCTTCACTGGACTTTAAGCTGCTGCAGTTAACCCCACTGATATCAGGCTTTCTGATGGGTCCGCACTCTGATTTGGTGCGCTTTATGTTGGCCCAGTGGCCTTAAATGCTTTTCTGTCCAGCAGCAAATCCTGAGGCAGATTCTTTGCTGCATTGCCCCTCTGCCCTCGAAAGTACTAATATCTTGTCAGTTTGTGTTGGTAGCCAGGCAGAGAGTTGGGAGCTCATGGATACAATGCATTTCTTTGTGATGACAGCAGGGACATACTTCCTGGGAATATGCTTCCTAAACAATGGTTTGCCTCTGGTGTAGACAGTGTAATCGCAGACTGTATGCATGGATGTTAGGGTAGACAGACCTCCCCTCCCACACACACACCTCACTCCCATTAATCTAATCTGTCAAATCCTTCTAATAAGGCTTGTGATCACACATACAATGGGGCTCACTGCTTTTACTGAGCCACTGGTAGCCCAATTAAACACTGAAGCGATTGCCTTGACTGAGTGATCCATTTGTTGGGTGTCATGGGCATCAGTTCATCCTGATCTTGTGAACTTGCTGGGGGAAGAAGATGGCCTTAATGATTATGACCCTTGTTACTAAGTCAGGCTTTCAACTGCCAGCCACCCTGCTACTAGTCCTAAGATTATCATAATGGATGAGAGGGTGGGAAATAATTCAGAGGTCTTTGTTTTGTTTCCTTCTTGGGCAAGAGGAGAGATTCATTAGGGATATTTTGAGAACGCCCTATAAATATGTTTCTTTTCATAGACTCATACTGATGACACCTGAATGGGCACGTGAGGAAGAAGTGTCCCCTTCCGCAGCAGCCTTTTCTAGGTAAGACACATCCCCACACCCTGATAACAAACATGTATGGGGAACACAGTCAACAGAGATAGAAGAAACTGCCCTCATCTCCTCATCTTTCTTTGGCCCACGGACACAGTGGCTAGGTCAGGGTGCAGAATGACAATGGCAGGATGGGCTGGCACACGACATTGTGTACCAGGATAAGCATCAGGCCAAGCATTAGAAGGCCTGGATTTGTTTTGGCTGTATCCCTTTCTTGCTGTGTGGCCCTAAGTAAGACATTCAGACCTCACAGAGCCTCAATATTTTTTGGTAGTAAGAAAGAGAGGTAATACAGTGCTGCAGTAATTCACAAAGTTGTTGTAAAGATCAAATGTTTGTATCATTAGTACCTAAGAGATCACCAGGCAGGTAATGAACACTTTAATGTTTGCTAAACGAATAACTAAGTGGATACAATGAGAGTTGAGGACTGTGGAGTGCTGTGCAAATATTCGTTATTGTATTGCTTTGAAGACTGACTATTTTCTCTGTGCCCATTATGAATTTATTTCCTGTTCTGGAAAAGATTTAACTGTTCAACCTATGTTAAAGCAAAACAGTCTAGCTCCTTTAGGAAGCGAGGTCTCAAACTGCCAAGTTGGGTTTAATCGGTCACCATGACAGGTGTATTGGTCTTCTGTGAAGGCTTAGAAAAAGTGAGGACAAATACAACAGTCAGGACAGTTCTGGGCCACTCATAGGGGAGACTCAGAAAACTCTGGAGAAGGCTGTGAGCGGATAGCTTTGTGGAGGCTAGTTTCAATGGAGGACAAGAAGGCTGAGTTAGAGTGGTATGAATTAAGAAGGAGGTGAAATGCTTCGAGGAGGTGAAATTTAGTATTTAACTCTTCTCTAATTAAATAAAATAGCACTTAAAGGCCCAATGCTAGAAAAAAATTGTCAATGTGGCCTGAAGACAACAAAAGGATAACCAAAGAGACATTAAGAACATGAACTTCATCACGATTACAAATGTGACAAAGTCTCCTTAGGTACTTTGAAGTTAAAAATAAATTTCTCACTTGGCTTATATCCTATTCCATCATTTATATTTATAAGTGAATTTGACTAATTTTAGACTTGCTATTCTAAATAAACAAGCATAGCCCTTTATAGAAAATCCATGGGAATTGAATTTGGTGATATAGCCTTTTTTTTTTCTTAATTTGTATGCCTGAACTAGGAAGACTTAAGGCTCCAATGTCACAGAAAGTTAAGAACCACTCATCACCCTGGGAAAAAGCAGGAGGAACTAAGCTTCATCTCTAAAATTTGTCCAGAAACACTGGCTCTTCTAATTGATGGGAGCATCAAAATGGTGGAAATCAGCTGTTTTCAGTTCCCTACTCCCCCAAGGTAGAAAGGTCAGGGCCGACATGCTTTAGGGAGGTGGGGAGTGGCTCAGGTGGAGAGCTGAGGCCTGTCCTCCCTCCCACCCTGACTTTGAGCGGGAGCTACCTTTATTGTCGTGCCAGACCCTCAGCTTGCAGAGGTGGCCCAGGCTCAGCATGTCAGTGAATTTGAACTTGTCCATGTTGTTGCGCTCAAACTTGTTCCAGTTGGTTGACTGCTTCAGGGCCAGGGTCCCGCTGTCCCCATTCTCCCCAAAGATGATGATGAACACGTTGGCATCGGTGCCTGCACCTGGGAGTGCACAAAACAAGGGTTCTGGGTATTGGCCTCTCTGAAACACAGCTCTCCTGCTCTGCCCTTGACCCTGGCATCGTTGGAGGAGCCAGAAGTGCAGATGGGCAGTTCAGAGTCAACGAGGCCAGTGTCCTGGGACTCGCGGGTCTGCGACTTTATCCTTCATTGTATCTCTGTGCCATTGTATCTCTGTATATGCTGGCGCACTAACTGGAGTCCCAGTTAGCAAGTGTGAATGGTTCAGTACAGGAATTCATCTCGTTATGGGGAAATGCACCCATACTTACAAGGCACGCCATGTAGACTGCCTTTACAGTTTGGAAATACAGGCTCCCTCCTACATACCATGGGTTCAGAAGGATGTTCCCCAAATCTACCTCTGGTTGACATGCTACACTAGAGTTCATATCATTTGCTTAAGCCAAATAGAGATATTAATCCCAGTTAAAAAAAATACTTCTGGAAGAGATGACTCTGTGAAACTTTTCTGATACACGCCCTGTGGTTATCAATTAATTTATCAGTTATTTTCTGCGGGTGCATCAGGAGGGGATGGAGGGGCTTGAAAACATGTGGACATTTGGAACTTAAGCAAAAAGAGTAAAGGCTCCACTGTGAGGAGAAAAGGAAGAAGGGAGATGCCAAAAACAAACTTTACCGGTTTTACTGACTCATCACTTACGCCTGAGATCCTACCATGAGAGCTTCACTTCTTTGGCTAAAGGCTTCTCTGTTGAAAATGCAACCTACCAGGGACAGCAAGTTAATCCCTCGCTAGCCACTTACAATGAGTGGGAATGAGTTTGCCAGATTCTTTGCAACAGCTCCTGGAGTACAGGCTTGGTACAGGTAGGCAGGAGGTATTGCCTCCGAGATGAGTGTGTTCCATCTCAGCTCCAGGCCTTTGTGTACACTAGTCCTTTTCCTGCCCTTCCTCCAGTGTTCTGTCTGCCTCAGTAGCATCTGTTTGTCTTTCTGGACTGGACGTTAGCACCACCTCTGAGAAGGCCTTTATGACCCTTGTGCCTGGTCCCCAGCTAGGTAAGGTGCCCTCCTCTAGGTTCCCCAGCACCTGAGCTGACAGAACCTCACTGTCATTGCTTTACTAGAATGTCAGACCCACAAAGGCCCAGGGTCATATCTCCATCCTATGACTTCAGGCCAAAGCTGGCACACAGCAGATGGTTGCCAAGCACAGGGATGTGGGAAGGGACCCACAGATGCACAGCACCTGGGCGAAAGGCATCAGGAGGCAGCAGGAAGACAGAGGACTCCGAGTCATGCTCCATCGTCCAAAGTGCTGATCATATTGCTTGATAATGTTTTCCCCACTTCTCCGAGGTAGGAGGGACAGAGCTCATTTGGTCATTGAGAGGAACTACTTTTGTCCAGACAGAAAGTGACACACTGTGGAAAGGACTTGGCCTGACTAACGTTTGGAAGGCTATCTAAGGAAGAGTGCCCTGACTGGAGCCCAGGGCCTGAGCCAGAACTTGAGGAAGGGCCAGAGTAGGGTGAGGTAGGAGCGGGAGATGGGAGGACCCTCTGACTCACCCAGGATGTCACTGGTCTTAACTGAGATGGAGTAAGTCGTCTTCGTCATCATCTCCTCTCCGTCGATTACGGCGCACATTTCACACACCAGGGTCTTCTTGCCCTGTCGCTGGGACAGCCAGTCTCCATAGTAGAACATGGTCAGGTCTCCAGTGTTCATGTTTTTCAGGAGGATCTGGGTGAGAGGAGCCAGTGTTGGAACGCCCTCCCTTACCTCCACCAGACCCTCTACCTGCTAATGCAGCCTCTCGGACCCATAATCCCAGACCTGAGGCGAGTTCTTCCGACTTAGACCCAGGTGTGGAATGGGCCCCCTCCAGCACAAAACCCCTGCCCTGTGTGCCTTGCACAGGTTCTGAACCCCTCGCCAGGACTACCCTTGTTTGGGGATTTGGAAATGGGTAATTTGTCCAAACATGTTTCCAAGATTGTGCACAAGAAATGTTGGCTGCGTGAATGACAGAAAATGGACCAACCAAATCACGGTCAGCCGTGAACACCTGGGAATAGTGTACCGAAGTTGGCCAGATTGTCCTTGGCGTGGGCACCATATTGTTGGCTCAAGAAAAATCTGCTAGTGGCTGAAGAGGGGAGTAGGAGCCTGAGGGGACTTGGGACAGATGGCCTTTGGTGGAATGGGGGACGAGAGGACTGATTCAGGGGGGAGTAGAGGCCCAAGAAAGAGGCAGCCCCTATCTAAGTCATCACAGGCCCACCAAGAGCTCCCTTACTGTCCCGCCTAAAATTCCTACTATTAGAGTCTCGTTGTTCCAGTTCTTGCTCCTCTCTCACCCCTCCCAACTCCCTCCCTCCGAGAAGCCCTAGTCTCTGCACGCTACAGTGCATGCTGTATTCTCTGGCAGTTGATTCCATTTTTGACTGGACACAAATAAATAAAACTATGTCTTCTGATTAATTCATATCAAAGAAGCCTATTGGATGGTAGAGGCCAGGTTGTGTAATAACCCTTTAAGGTGACATTTACACTTTATCAAGGTCCACTGACAACCGAAAAGAGCAGGAAGAAGGGTGAGCAGTGGGTGGACGGGAAGGCGAGGGGGCGGACATTTTACCCTCTCCAGGAACCACTCGGGCCGGCTGCCCAGGCCGTCAAGCCGGATCCGCATCTTGGTGAATGGAGCGATGTCCAGGATCTCCATGAGGAAGGTGTCGTTCTGTTCCCGCTCAAATCTGCGGGTGGAGAGGACAGGCATGAGGAAGGGCAGCCGGCCACAGGGAGGGGACCAGGCCATGCCTGAAAGCAGATTCAGGGTGAGGAGAGAACGGGCTCTTACTCAGGCTCTCTCTCAGCAACCAGGGACTCTCTAATAGCCTGGGTCTTGCACTGCAGATGTATTCCCAAAATACTAGGTGAAGTGTGTTTGACCGGTAGGAATGGCCCTGAATCAAGACCTATCAATTCTGGGTCCTAATCTCATTCTTCTAGCCACCTAAGCAGTCCCATCTCCTCCCTGGGACTTGGGTTTCCTCATTGTAGTCTGAGGAGAATGACACTAGCCCTGCAATCTCACAAAAGTGTCACAAGGATCAAATAAATGTGAAATCAACTTGAAATGTTAAAAAAAAAATTTCCTACCTGGAAAATTTTACAGGGTTGCCATGAATAGTGGGGCAGGTTATGAACTGCACAATTCTACATGGTGTTGTTCACATTTTTAAAACACATAAGGTACTCTGCACAACTGAACTCAGTGGCCCTAGTTTGGGTAATGCTACTAATAGCTGTAAAGTGGCAGGTGAGTCGAAGGTAACGTTGCTTTTGTTGCTATTACAATTTTTCTGCTGAATGACCTCATCCTCTCAGAGATGCTCTATCTTTATTCCCTGCTGCTCTCCCCACAGTGTGGCACATATAACGTGACCTTCAATGCTGACTGATTGCTGACTGATTCCAGATGCTGCTGCTGCTAAGCCCCTGGGGGTAATGCAGGTGGCACGGAAGATATGACACTGCATGACAATTGTTATGCTTTCCTGAATACAAGACAGATTTTTAAAAACAGAGACCGCAGCCAGTGAGGCCTGGGACTGCAAATATTGCACACCGAGAACTAATTACTCCTAGTCTTTAAAGGCAGTGGAGGGACAGCAGTGCAGTCTAATACTTTTTGATAACTTGCTCATGTGCATTTTATGATTGTTAGAAGTGAAAACATTCTCCCCAAAGTCGGCCCTAAATCCCTCCTGCTCTCATTTAAGCCCAGTGTGCCCCTCGGGTCATGCAGAAACCGGAAGGAGGCACTCACAAATTCCCTTGTCAAGCTCCTATCACATACTGGAGAGTCTCTCAAATAATCTTACAACTCATTTGATTCCTTACTCATTGCCAGGTGTACAATGTTGCAGATCACAGGAACTGTAGAATTCTTGGCTTTGTATTTCTCTTGCGTTTTCACCTTTCGCATTTAGCCAAGTATCTCCATTTTATGGAGATTTTATGGTGGGCAAATGTTCGGAAAGAGGGAGAAACAAGCTTTTCTTCTAGAAGACTGAAGAGTGGATTGCTTTGCCCCCTCACCCTTATTTACGGACTAAACCCCACCTACACCTGGATGGACCTCCTCTCCTCCGGGCAGAAGGCCCGCATTCAAAGGGAAAGCCCTTCATTGGCCTTTCATCCCTTCATGACTCACTAGCCACCTCCTTCTGCTGCCCCAGAACCCCTCAAGACACCTCAGTTGACACACAGTAGGACTCCCACATTGAGGGGCTACTGTTGGAGAAGCGGTCAGGCTTTGATCCATATCTTGGAATGCCTAAAATTCTTCTGTAAAATAGTGGCCTTTTCAGCCTAAGGCTTTGGGCCTGGTTAGCCTCAGGCTGTTCTCGGGCACAGAGACTCTGTAGGAGTGGTTGCTGGGGAGGACAGCCTTTGATAGGGGGTGGGGAACAGAAGAAAATCAGAATAGCAAGCAAGTGAGGAACAACCAAAGTCCGCACTCCCCAGATGTCACATCTTCAGCTGCTGAGTAGAGGCTCCTCTGAGTAGATGAGCAGGGCAAACCCTGGACCACTCCAGAGGCTCAGGAGATTCCCAAAGACACAATGCTATCAAGTAATCTATAGACCTTACAATAAACATTTTTGCATGACAGAAGAAAGGAAAGAAAGGAAGAAGGGAGGAAGGGGGCGGGGAAGGAAAGAAGGAAGGAAGAAGGGAGGAAGGAAGGGAGGGAGGATAGGTCGATTATGTGCTCAGGTAATCAAGGAAGGCTTCTTGGAGGAGGTAGATTTGAGCTGGACCTTGAAAGAGAAAAATCTTGAGACACAGAAGAGTGGTTGAAGGGCAATTCAGGAGGGAGGAATCACAGGGACAAAAGGTTGGAGGTTGGAAGGTTCCAAGGCCTGAGGGGGATGTGAGGGAAGCAACCTGGTTGAATGCAGTGTGGGGCTAGAGGGTGGAGGCCTGGGTGCGTGGAAGGGCAAGGGGTAGAGGCTGCCCCCGGATACCTGGCCTTCTTTTTGTCCAGTTGCACTTCCTCTGTGCAGCCATACATGCCATAAAGGGTCATAAAGATGTTAGAGTCGGTGCCACCGCCCACCACATCACCTGTCCACACCGTCATTTCGTGGAGCACCTGCCATGAAAAAGATGTGAGTCCTGAGCCTTGGCCTCACCCATCAACCCCACTGACTTGCCTTATTCTCACCAGGGCAACACAACATGTTCTCTAGTCTCTGTGGCTCTGAAAACAGCACCCCCTCCCCTGCCCAATCAATGGTGAATGACTAGAGAGCAAGAGTCAGGCTTTGTCACCCTATGTCCCCCACTGTACCCAGTTCAGCACCAGAGGAGAGTTCTGTTTCTGATAGAGAGTACACGTGCAATAGAAACATGACTGAAAGCCCCAGGGCTAATTGATTTCTTTGTCAATTGAACCCCAGCCTAAATCCATGCAATCTAGTCCTGAATGTGGTGGCAGGACGGTGGCCTTTGGAGCTATCCACAGTACCATTTGAATCCCAGATGTGCCACCTGCTAGCTGTTGAACCTGGACAGATGCCCCACCCTTGTCAGCCTCTGCTCCATCCACTGTGAAATGGGGATAAACACGTTACAGAGTTGTGAGAGCTATAGACACCGGACCTGCCATGTGGTGTGGCATCAAGAAGCAGCAGCAGTTCTTCTGGGTGACTGTCCCTCCTTCATGTTGCAGCCAACACACACCCTGAGCATCAGTGAGTGAGGGACACTTCAGAGGTGATGTTTAAGGGAGCTCTGCCTCCACCCACTTGTGAAGTGGGACAATCACATATTCTATCCGATTATCTTTCACTTGAGTTTGGGATGTTGCTCCTTTTTGGAGGCTTGCCCCAAATAAGATATATACCCTTTGTCTCTCCCCACTAAAGGAGGAGGAGGGGGCAGCCTGCCTTTCCCAGGACAGTGCCCTCACTGAAGCCCCTGCCTTGGTTCTTCCTCTGAGATCCAGCCTCGTGGCAAGAGGGGCCATCTTTATCCATGATCTGGAGTGTCTTCTGGTCTTGGCTTCTTATGCCATTCCTCCTCACCCGGTGCTCAAGGACTAGCAATTAGGTCCCTAATTCAGCCTTATATACCAGCCAGACGTGCTTTGCTAGGAGCCAGGAGACTCAAGCCTTTTCTGTGTGACCTTGGACCAGTCTCCTAGCCTCTCTAGGCCTTGGCCTTCTCATATAGCACATGGACATAATGCTTCCCAAAAGCATTAGTAGCAAAATGGTTCAGGAGAGGCTTGCACACATGGCCGAGGAAATGCCAGGCTAACTACCTCCTTCGTACATACCTGGCCCTTCCCTTTCCCTGTGGTTGCGACATGGTGTTGTCACCTGTACAGGTGCCTGGTATACTCACTAACCAGGAGCTTTAGAGCTCAGAACCTAAGTTATTCATCATAGCGATGTTGTGCCTATTGGGTACTGGGTGCTTTTCAAGCAGCAGCTAGAACCTTCGCCATGATACTGCACAAGGTTAGACGTAGTATTTTCAGGCCTGGCTCAGAGGACAGGTTAGCTGAGAGAGTAATGGAAGAACCTCTTGCTTTACCAGGAAAATCCGCTTAGACCATCTAACAAGGGCATCTGTGATGAGCACAGAGCTATTGAGAATGAAAGCAGGAACCTGGTGCTTTTTTTTGCTCTTACCCAGACAGGCATAAAAAATAAAATGATCAAAATGAGTGCTTTCTGGCTCCAAGGAGACTGGCCCCGTAAGGCTGGTGCCTCCAGACTCCTATGTTCTCTGTGTGTGTGTCTCTCTCTCCTTTATGCAGACACATCTCTTTTTATGTCACAGGTGTGTTTCCAGAAAGAGACACAGAAACAGGGCTTTGTGATTCCGGTCTGATATCCGACGTCCTGGGGAGATGGCCAATCCAAAGAACCCTGCGGTTCTTTGTCAAGTGACAACCCTGTGTTCTTTTGTAACATGAATAACAGGGATGTGAGTCCGGATTTCCATGGACTGAAGAGCTCAGAGGGAGCTGCAGCTGCACTGAGCGGGGTGTGCATGTGTGTTGGGGGGCGGGTGGCACACACACAGGCACACACATGCCCACGTGCACTTTGGGAACTGGGTCAAGACAGAGGACCCTGGATGAATGGTGTGCTCATCCACACCGGCCATCTGGCCACAAATGGAGATATCTGAGGAAAGCAGGAAAGGCTGAGGCTGTCTAGTTGCAGGAAGTTCTGCCCTCTGGCTTTCAAGCAGGGGAGGGGCAGGCATCCACTCTCCTGCCTGACAAGGTTTTCACAGCCCATAATTCAGCTCTTCCTTCTGTTTCAATATGTAGTATAGGCAGGGCATGCTCAGGTGCAGGGCGATTCCTTCTCACCTTTGTGGGACAGCTTCTGACCTAAATCTAGTAGCCAATTGGTTTGGATTCAGGGACAGAGGTGAGGGTTGGAGCCTTCTGTTTACCCCACAGCTTTTCAGGGAGAAAGAAATACCTGCAGGGTCACATGAACCAGAGGCCCCTGGGCGACCAACTGGCCATGTGTCCTTGGGCCCCAGCACCCAGCCATCCTGCCTCCTGTCCAGCACTGACCTGCAAGTCTCTACAACTTGTCCCAGGTCATTTGACCAGTTAGAGGTGGAGCTGGGACAAGAGCGCAGAGCTTCTGCCTTCCAGCCTTTTCCACTTAAGGAGGGCCTTGTGCAGACAGGTCTCGCTGCACTCTGAGACTCAAAGGCTCAGAGAATCCTAAATGCCATCTGTCCCCATCCCCGTCCTACTGGTGTTGACAGAGCATCCTTGGAGAATAACGACTCTGCCCACCTATGTAGAGCTGTAACTTTGCAAAGCTCTTCATGGACTGTTTATGGTCTCATTATTTCTTAAGCTCTTATGTGGAACAAAATGGGAAGCATTGTTTCCATGTGCTATATGAGAAGACCAAGGCCCAGAGAGTCCAGGTGACTTGTCCAAGGTCACACTGTAGTAGACCAGAAGAGACTTGAGTCTCCTGGCAAAGCACATCTGGCTGGTATGCCAGGCTGAAGCCTCTGCTAATGACCCAATAACAGTCTCCTGCTTCCCTCATTCCCATTTCCTCACCGTTCCCCAACCCCAACCTGCAGTGCCCTTGCTGTTCAATGCATACACACAGAGGCCCCTCTATACCTTCACCCCGATGTTCACCACTGTGGCATCTAGGAGGTCGAAGACACAGGAGGTGAAGCCATCTCCTCGTTCCTTGGCGAGCCAGGAATTGCAGCGCAGTGTGTACCTGGTGCCTTGTGTGGGCACAGCCAAACACAGCTCATCCACCAGCCAGCAGCTCTCCGGGGCGGTTCCATCATGGCCCAGCTGGGAGGGGACACATGGGCACCATGAGGACCTTGGCACAACTGGGAAGGAAGCCCTCTCTGCTCAGCATCCTGCGGCCTCCCCGTTCAGTGCTTTCTTCCAATTCTCTCTGGACTAAGTGACCCAAGTCCTTCCCATGAGGGGAAGCGATTTTGAAGTTATCATTAAGGTCTCTAATCAGATGATTTTGAGTTAATCAAGAATATTCTAGGTGGGCCTGACCTAATCAGGCAAAGCCCTTTAAAAGAGGGTCTAGACATCAGAGATGGAAGAAGTCAGAGAGATTTGAAGCAGAAAACACCTTTTATTAGCCTTCCATGTTTTGGAGAGGGTAGCATGGCAGGGAATGCAGGCAGCCTCTAGGAACTGGAGGCCTCAGTCCTATAACCACAAGGAAATACTCGTAGATATTGCCAACAACCAGTGAGCTTGGAACAGGACCCCAATCTTCAGATGAGACTGCAGCCCTGGCAACAACTTGATTTCAGCCCAGTGGCACCTTGGGAGGAGGACCCAGCTAACTCACATCTGGATTTCTGACCAATGAAACTGTGAGATAATATGTTTGTGTGGTCTTAAGTTACTAAGTTTGGGGTCATTGGTTACACAGCAGTAGAAAAGTAATACACAAGGCATCCTCATTGAGTAGCTGGAAAACTGGGACCTGCAGTGGTGAGCGGCTCATCCAAAATGATGGCAGAGGACAGGAGGTCTTACCCCGCTACCTGCTCTGAGGTGAGGCTCAGGTTCGTTGCTCTGCCCACCCTCTACTCCTCATTCTACCTGTGGATAGGTCAGCTCCTTCCTTCCCTGGGGGTGGTCACCATCCTGAGGCCCCAGGGGCCAGCACCTCTATTTTCTTGATGACGCCCACATCCAAGCCTCCGACATAGAACTCCTCCACAGAGCCGCAGCTGAAGCCCTTCTTCCCTCGGGGGTGGTCCAGCCAGATTCGATTACTGTACTCCTCATCCTCCCCGATGAGGATGACGAAGGCCCGGCTGTTGGTGGCTGCATCCTTGTCCATCCCAGTGGTGACTGAGACATAGTAGGGAATAACTGCAAGAGATCATGGGAGCCCCACCTCAAAACGGGCCAGGTGAACCAGGGCAGGCTTGTAGACTTGGAAACGAAACTCGGAGACTTTGTCTCCCTGCCTCCGAGACAAAGTGCAATGGAGCTTTCCAGACTGGCGTGTTATCTATATTGAGTGTCTACTCTCCAAGAAGTGAGGGAATTGGTAACTCCCAAGTGTAGTGCAAAGAGGGCATCCTTGCCACTTCGAAAAGCCCTAGGACCAATTACCTTAGCTGCACCATGTGAAGTTGGGTAAGAACAAAAATCTTTTCCTAAGTACAGGGGATGCCTGGAAAGCTTACCGCCGGAGCAAAAACGAGGTTGGCAAAAGCAAGATCTACAGAAAATAGAAATTTAGGGAAGAATAATAAAATAGTATTATAGATGTAATATAGTAAATGAAAGTTCTAGAAGGCACCCATATTCGTCCATTAAACTATATTAATCATTATAGAAACTTGCTCAGGTAGTGTGGCGTAGACTTCTAGTTGCCCACCCAGTATCTATTCTCCATGCAGCTAGGGATGGTCATGCTATGTAAGCAGATGGTGTTGGGAAAATTTGTTTTAAAGGGTTTGACTCAACTGGTACGAGCACCTTTTGGCCCTGACCCTTCCATTCATTCTGCTTGGAGTGTGGATGTGTTAGCTGGAGTTCCAGCAGTCATCTTGGAACCATAGGCAACCTTTAAGATGGAAGGCACTTGTGAGGCTGCCAGAGTGATGAAGTTGAAAGAGTCTAGTTCTATGACTTCACAGGAGCTGCTGTATCAGTACCAACTGCTTACTCTCAGACTTTCATGTGAGAGAAAAGGAAAATCCCTAACTTGTTGAAGTCACTATCTCCAGGTCTCTGTCACTTGTAGTTAGTAATTGATATAAACAGGAACCCCTTCTCCCGGCTCATCTTTCTCGGTAGCTTGAAACACACTGCCTTGGTGTAGTGGATTATAGGTTACACAATCTGTATCTCTTTGAAAAGTTTCCAAACTAGACCTTCCTGGATGGAATTACCTGCATTGTTTTTTTTTCTGCACTTGCCTATGGCCTTGTTTTAACCTTTATAAAGAGAGCACAGTTGATCACAGTGCTTAATTAAGGAGAGGCACTTTCTTGTGGGTTCTGTCATTTATTCACATAGTGAGAAGGTAGAGTATAAAATGATCAGCTTCCTCTGCTCAACCCCACAGACCCACCATGTTGTCTCCTGGAGGGGAAGATAGTGGTCGTCATGCTGCATATTTAAGAGAAAGGAACAGAAAGGCAGTGCATCGAAATGTCCAATAGACAAATGCGAAACTGCCTTATCTCAAAAGTCTGGTTGGAAAAATCCACCTGTCGGGAGATTATTTTATAAAGGACGGAAAAATGGAAGCCAAAAGAGTGACTTGTCCAAGGCCTCATGTATTATTGTCAGAACTAGAAGTGGAACCTAAATCTCCAAAAAAACAGCTCAGGACTCCCCCACCTCCACATACACACATCATGCCTTAAGTTTTCATGGCTCAGTCCTTTGTGTGATGCTCTACTAGCAGGCAAAGGATTTATATTACTGCTGTTGATTTCTGTCTGATGAGACGTCCTAGGTCCTCTCAGCTGACTCTATGCCCTGAGAGTCTGGGTAAGGGCAGAGTTTACAATGGTACTTTCCTGGTGTTGGATCAGTGGATTAAAGGCATCACCACTCTAACTTATGTAAGTCTTTGCATCCCCATCTGTAAAGGGGACTAATCCCTGCCCTCTCACCTTTCAGGGTTGTTGTGGGGATGTGAACAGGCAATAGGTGTGAAAGCTGTGTGTAAGTTGTAAGATGTTAGATTTCAGTCAGATGATGGTGGGGCAGATGCATGGCCTGTCCAAGAATAGCTTAAACACACTTCCAGGTGCCTGTTCCTCCTCTGACGAGCCCTCTGCTTGGCTTACCTGTGCCCTTCTGAACGTAGTTGACCATGGGCCCCGTCACTGTGGCGATGTCGACGCCTGCCATCTTGGAGCTCAGGGCGATCTCCCAGAAGTCAGCGGGGCTGCTGCAGTTGCTGCTCCGGTCCCCAGTGTACTCCTGTCCGGAAGAACATGACCCAGGCCCATTACACCTCTGGCACCTTCTGCCCCACGGGGCCTCCCCCAGGTATGAGGACGATGACAGGCCATGGCTGAGCCAAGCCCCTGCTGGCTTGCACACACCTTCTCATAAAAAAGCCTCTCAAGCAGCCCATCCTCCTTCTTCAGGGACAGCCAGCGCCCGCACAGGAACAGGAACTCATCCTCGTTGGTGTCGTTCCAGATGTCCACCTTCTCCACGTACCAGTCTGCACACAACTTGGTGTTGTCATGGCGGAGCTTGATCTTGTAGATGACGCCCAGGTCAGCAGCCTCAATGATGAAGGTGTCAGACTGGAATGTCCAGATGTGGGGACTTGGGTGAGGGACGCTCCCCAGTTCTACCCACTTTAACCCTATCCATCTAGTACCTTCCAGACCCCTCAACTCTTGAGCTAAACAGGCCTTCCTAGCTGGGGAGACCTAGGACTCCGTAGGTCTAACATAGAGTATTTGGCATTCCACGTTCTCACTTCCACAATGGTCCCATTTTGCAGTCCAATTCTTCTTGGGATAAGCCCTGTGGATGTTTGGAAGATGGACCCTGATGAGCTGTGTAAGTAGGGGTGGGACAGACGAGAGTGCTCTGCCCAGTCCTGGTTAACTGGACATCCTTACTTATGTTGAATATTGGCATGAGTTCTAGTGAGAGGCTGGAGGGTAAGAGCTATTAAAGAGGTCAAATCATTCTGAATGATGGGAAAGGACTTGAAATTTCCGTGGGGAAGCTGGGAGGCAGTCAGAGGAATCAGCTGGCAGAGCCGCAGGAGAGGAGGCAGGGACAGGAGAGGCTCTGGCACAGGCGAGGCTGAGGAGAGGTCCGGGGACAACATCTTGAATGGGGGTTGAGGAAGGTTTTGTGTGAGGGGTGACAGAAAGCCCTTCTCTGTGTTCCTGATTATACCTTCAGCAAAGTGACATTCCACTCTTGGGTGCATGGATACTTTTGGAATTGTTCAGTAAGATGTGGAATTTTAGGCCTTGGGTGAAGCGGAGTCAAAACACAGGTTGAATGTGGCCGATAGGAGCCTGAGGAGGAGGAGGGACAGGTAACCCTGGGTGGCACCGACTTTTCTTCTGAAAGATGTGCTAAGTCACAGTGCTGAGGGCTGGGAGCCCAGAGATTAACATGATAGAATGTCCTCTGCCGCTCCCTGGGACAGGCCAGGTGGTAGGTAGCCACCTGTGTAATGACTAGAAGCAGGTCTGGGAGGACTCTCCAGGTGAGGTATTAAGCTGAAGATGGGGGTATTGGGCCTTCCAGGCTGTCAGGGCAGGTCAGTCTATGGGCTGAAAAATCTGCCGATGAATGGTACATGGCTGAGGGTAGGTGTGCATCCATGCAGGCCTTGGGGTACTGGCTGAGTTCATTAGAGCAAAAATAGGCACATCTTATGACACAGCAATTCCACTGCTTTGCATGTGTCCTGGGGGGACACCTTCACATGTATACAAGGATATTTGTTGCAGGGTAATTTTTACAGTGGAAAATTGGGAGCCATTATGTGTTCAGTGCTTGGGGAACAGCTAAATAACTATGTCAATACCATGTATAGAATGTTATGTGTGTGGTGGTTAAAAAAGAATGAGCCAGCTCCATCTATGTTTGAATATCCCGACACGGAAGACTTCCAAGGTATCCCGTTGCACGCCAAAGGCAAACTGAGGAAGTAGTCATATAAGATGATGCCTTCGATGTAAAAAATTAAAACCGCAGAACAGCATTATGTATTTTCTATGGGCATATGTACATGGATGCAGAAAAAACGCCTTGAAAGATTGGGACACAGGACACAGTGTGGGGCATTCTAGAAATTGGTGCCCAGCCATGAAGTTTTGTGAATCCCATGGAGGACTCAGGCCAGATCTGGGATGGGTATAAGTGAGGGAGTGACTCCATCATCTTTCAATAGGTTAACTGCGGAAGCCCAGATAATGGGTTGGATTTCAGGAACCTGGAGCAGGGAGTCAGGCGGATCCAATAAGTGGGGTGAGATAAGGAAGGGCTGAATGGAGGCAGAGTTGACAGGGCTCACCTGAGAGTTATTTTGAAGGGAGAATCTTCAACACCTGGCGATTGATTGGATGTGGGTGGGGAGGGGGTGCTGAGTGGAGAGGGTGTCAAGGACAACTCCTGGATTCTGGGGCAAGTGATTAGAGAAATGGAAGCTATCTAAAAGCTAGATGCTCAGCAGTGAACTTAAAGTCACACAGATCATCATGACTGAGATAGCAGTAGCTCCAGCTCCCCTGATGAGACGTCGAAACAGGAGGAAAGGAAGAGAAAGGGGTTGGGCAGAATGGAGAGGAGATTTTTGTTGTAATG